AACAAGATAGATTGAAGAATGCTCTGATTAATTGATATCTTGTATCATAAAAAGCAGCTTAAAATACTATGTCCTTACTAAAAAGAATTATGTCAAGCACTGACCATTAAAGCTATTGGTCGGGAACTCATATCCTGCCTGTTTCCATGTTGTTAGATTTGGATTCGTATATGCGTTAAAATGCCTATATATTAATGTATGCAGAAAAAATTATTACACATGGTCCTTATTAAATACCGTATTTTCGCGTAATAATGCCACCTTTTGAGAATATGTACATTACTTCGAGTACGCGTAATACACATATGAGTTATTTTGAGATGAAGGCATAGGAAGGCATTTATGTGATTGGCCAATTTACATCGATTCCAAACATAAGGGAAGTATCCCTATTTTGACGCAGGTAAAATTTACGACAAATATCGTGTGATGCACCGACCAGAACTGTGATTTTAATACCTGATACCATTCGATTCGTCTCATTGAGACAAATCGAATGGTACTAAATTGACGCAGGCAAATGTTGTGATTCTGGTCGATACATACGATATTTATCGTAAATGTTTACCTGCGTCAAATTAAGCACATCTACCCGGGCTATTTTGGTTACCGTATTTTCGCGAAATAACGCCCACCTGCGCGTTATTTTGAGTATATGCGCGTTATTTCGAGTACGCGCATGGGCGTTATTTTGAGACAAATATAAAATTTTTAAGTATCTTCTTATATATAACAAAAATGCTTCGAAACAAGGTTTACTTAGTAACACACCTAGTTTCGAAGCATTTTTTAATATTACTATAAATAAATACCTCTTACTATGGGTGTGCGTTATTTCGGGACGCGCATGGGCGTTATTTCGAAGCCATATATTTTATTTTTAAGAGTTACAATTTTCGAAATAACGCCCATGCCCGTTATTTCGCGAAAATACGGTAAATGGAGTATCTCAAGAAATATCGATCCGAATCACATGATCTCGGTACCAAACGATTCGTCTCATCGAGACGAATCGAACAGCATCAAAATCATGTGATTCTAATCAACGGTTCACAAGATATTGCCGTGCGTCAAAATTAGGAACTGCGTCAAATTAGGCATGCCTCCCTTACATATTATTTCTAGGAGTTATTTTGAGGTCATGCGCATCATTTTTAAGCGGTAAGGTTTTCAACATAACGCTCATAGACGTTATTACGCGAAAATGTGGTAAATATTCAAATGTTTATTGCCTTGAAGCTGCCGCCCGCCTGGAATTACTACTTCAGATATTTGAAGTAGCATTTGCCTGGGATTACTTATACGTACAAGATAATCTAATTTCATGTGCGCAATTTGGTCGGTGCAACTTTAGACGCTTGAAGTAGCAACTTCTGATAACTTCAAGCGCACCATATATCGATATATATTTACTTTTTAATATAATCAGAAGTAGGGTGATCTGGAGGATTGACCTTTAGCGGATCCTGATAAATTCGTACATAGTCTACATACATTGTTGAAGGGAATTTCAAATTTTTGAAATCTACTCAGTTGAATCCTTCCGACATTCCTAAATTAATAATGATAGATTGCAAAAGAAATAAATAACAATTTTTAGATGGTTTCAAAACAAATTTGTTATAACAAGTTATATGCCATTGGCTCTTCGCTTATTATTCTTTGACCTATGTCATTTATTTTATTTGGACCAACGGTGCTAGCATTCATTCTCCACGTAAGTTGATCATCAACAAACCAACTTATGTATCCACCAGACCCAGGTTCATATTCAAAGGCATATTTTTTATACACACGGTTGTTATAAATTTCATTATTAACCATCGTCGACGAACTGCCACACTCCACCAACATAGGTGTTGAATGTTGTCACATTTGGATTAAGTAATAAATATTAGAGCCCTAAGTAGGCTCCATAATTGCAATAGCAGAGCAGAAACTTTTTGTAAACAAGAA